CTCTGAAGGACAACAGCACTCTGCTCACGCAGGTCTGTCCTCGAACACCACTGACGCAAACACTCCCCGCATTAACTCTTTCCCCGCCAAACACTGAATTTTCCATGTTTCTGCTGTTATCAGGGATAAGACAAATAAGTTACCAATCATATGAAATTAGTATTAATTAATTTGTACTACAGAGGTGGCACAGAAGAACTCAAAAGTGGCTTGTAGGTACATTTTCAGATGTTTAATGAGGCTCAGAGGTAGCATGAGTGCAATTAAATTCATGTGGAGATTAATGTTTTAAATATACAATTTTGAATACAGAAATATGATTTGAATAACTGAAATTATACGCTAAAAATGAAACTAATCTGCCAGCAGGTGGCGGCAAGTCACTGATTTTATAATCGAATCATTCATTCAATTGATTCGTTCGAATGGCTGAATCATTCATTCAATAGATTCGTTCGAACGGCTGAATCATTCATTCAATTGATTCATTCGAACGGCTGAATCATTCATTAAATTGATTCGTTCGAACGACTGATTCATTCATTCAATTGATTCATTCGAACGACTGATTCATTCATTCAATTGATTCATTCGAACGGCTGAATCATTCATTCAATTGATTTGTTCGAACGACTGAATTCATTCATTCAATTGATTCATTCGAACGACTGAATCATTCATTCAATTGATTTGTTCGAATGACTGAATTAATTCATTCAATTGATTCATTCGAACGACTGATTCATTCAGGAATGAAGCAAGTGACTGTCTTTATGAACTGACGGAAATCTGTCGTAGCGACGGAACTTTAATCCCTGTGTTATACGCTAGGGGGCGCTATTACACCTCTCCTGAATGAGTCGATCAAAAACACAGACCAGGAAGATGCAGAAACAAGCGATCTCGTATGAAAGCATATGCATATGAAAAATAATGCGATCATCAACACTAACTCCTAGAGGTGTAACGTTACATTTATTTTTTCGGTTCTGTACGCATGTGTACCGAACAAATCATTACATTTTTTTCAGGAAATTCAGACAATAAATGCCGTTTTGGCGCTCTTTGATGAGGCGCGACGGATTATTACTAGTCTTAACGCAAAAATATACAGGAATGAACAAACCACGCCTCGTGTAATCATTCAGTCAGTGTTTCACTTGCAGAAAGACGTCAATAAAACAGCTTGTAAACAAAAGAGCATTTCATCATCAGTGTCTACAGCTCGTTATTTACTAGAGAAGAGCGTTTCACTAAATATTAGACTATATACTCATATAATAAATAAATAATATATAATAATAATAATAATATGAGGTCTGTTTCAACAACAAATAGAAATTGTATAATTTAGAAGTTAATTTATAAACTGCAATATGTGCGATTTACATTTTTGCATATATATATATTTTTAATTAGAGTGTTGATTATTATAGCTAAAAATAAATAGCAATTGAATTTAAGCTTGGGCTCTGTTGTTAATTGTAACCTTCCTATAGTCCCTATAGTTTAGAGCAGAAGCTGAGGTAGATTTTTATCCCTAAGAAAATATTAATTGTATATTAATATACCACCTCTTAGCTGTTATAAATACACTGTAAACCACGGCTTCACGGGGCTTATTGCTTTAGTATTGCATGTTCAGATATTCATACAACAAAATATTCTGGGGGCCATTATGTTTGAGTGCAAATCAGAGTTAAGCATGCCGTCCTTCACTCGCAGGTCCAGCAGACCATGAAGGAGAACCTGCTGGCTGTGGAGGAGAACTTCTCCGCGCTGGACCAGAGGATGAAGAAACTCTCCAAATAAAAGCCATCGGTCTGGCGTGAGGAGAGAGCGAGCGAGAGAGTGAAGGAAGCTCTGTTTCTCATGCCGCCCTTTTGTTTTTCTGCTGTGTCGAGAGCAACCGTCCCCACACTACAGAGCCTCCTAAAGCTTCAGCGTGCAGATGCTCTCCTCAAACCCAGCGTCTGAAAGAGTTCTGATCTTAAGCCCTTTCCTTCCTGATCCTCAGGCTTTGTTTTGAAGGTGAGGAGACGCTGTGTGTGTAAATACAGCTCGTTCTCATGAGCGATCGCTTGTAACCGTTATTGTGTTATTAATGTGTGGCGCGGAGTCCACCAATTATGATCATTTTCAAATGCATCGCTGGATAATAAAAAATGCTTCCAGAAATCTGTTTCATGTTGTTGTTGTTGTTTTGAAAGTTCACAGCATTCCACACATTTTCCTGGCATTCCCTCACAATACATTCCAGTTACATTTTCCAGTCATTTGAGATTTTTAAATATTTTTTACATTTATGTAACTTACATTTTTTTTTTGTGGGTTTGCATTTTTACATATTTGTAGATTTTTATACTTTTGTAGATTTGACTTTTTGTGGCTTTGTAGATTTTTTTTTTACATTATTAGAAAAATCTATTTTACGTTTTTGTATGTTTTTAAAATTTTTTAAATGTATTTTTTCCTTTAAATTTTAGCGGGTTTTGCTCGTGCAATTTAAAAAATATATTCTCGATTAGAAATTTTGTAGTATAATGCTAAATATGAATATCAAAAAATAAAAGGGTTCGAAATCAGTTTGTTTGATGCTTAGCTTCATACTTGAATCCTTTAAGAATATGCATTGCCTTAAAGCATTATATATTATGGACATTAGTTTGTTGGCTTTGTTTGATCAGCTTCATTTAGTTCCTCTCAATTTTTCTCTATGATAGTTTAGCAGCTTATTTTCTTAAAAAGTGATATACAGAGCTAATTAACAAACAGGACAGTGTTAGTGAAATATTTAGAAACAAAAACGTTTTTTCTCTCCATCTTCTAAAGAAATATTTCATGTTCTGAAGCAGAACAACTTACAGTTTTGGCTGGTGACGTCTAAACAGTGACATAAAATAATCAGAAGAGAGCTTTCATCATTTAAAATGTTTTAATTTGTTAAATAAAAAAAAAGATCAACTCCCAATAAAGGAAATGCTACTTGTTCACAATTCTCAAAGTGTTTTCTTTACAGATCAAACATGAATATGAGAAAGGAAAGGTTTCTCTGCAGGAGAAATATTTTACAAATTGATCATTTTTTCCCTAAAAAAGGTGTACAAAATAAAATACTAAAACTGTACATATATACATAAATTCAATAGTAAAATTGCATAATCAGCCTCATTATTAAATCATTATTTTAAATATTCAGTATTAATCTTGTGCCTGTGTTGATGAGCTCTGTGCAGATCCACGACTAAAGCCCCTAAAACCTACAGATACACTCCTGTAACACACACACACACACACACACGTTTACACATAGGAGGAAAAAAAACACATATATGGCCCTGCAAAGACAAAACATTGAGTGATGAGTGCGATTCGAGGCGTGTGAAACTCAAGTGTTACTGAGGGCGCCATTACTGACAAAACTACTGACTGAATCTAGGGCTGAAAGCGGTTCATGAGGTGCATTATGGGTTTTTAAAGAATAACATGAGTCGTTTGGTCCGTCTCAGTGTCTGAGGGATTTTTGGACACAAACGTGCACCTGATGGGAGTGAAATCTTAAAGGGACAGTACACCCAAAAATATACGAGTGCATCACTTGCAGTGAATGGGTGCCGTCAGAATGAGAGTCCAAACAGCTGATAAAAACATCACAATAATCCACAGCACTCCATCAGTTAACATCTGGAGAAGACGAAAACTAAAACAATCCATCAAGAAATATGAGTCCATAATCCATAATAACGCTTCCTGCAGTGAAAAGTGCATCTGCTGTTGTCTCTCACATCAAAATC